AAGAAGAGAGAGGTTGTGATGAGCTCTCTCCCTAAGTCTCTTGTTAGTACGTCACCATCTCTGGTACCTCTCTTACTGGAACCACCGCAACAACTGAATGCATCCAACAACAACATCAGCAGCTCTCTCATGTTTGTGGTTGCAGCTGCATACGGCGCCGTAAGTTATTCATTGGCCAATTACTACACATCCCTAGGTCTTTTCGTCATCTCTGCTCATGGCCTTTGGTCCCTCATCAAATGTTCTGTTAAATCCAAGGTCGTGTAGAAGACTTTTATAGGTGAAGAGAAGAAGGCACCAAGCTAAGTTGCCTGTGAAATCCTCTCTTTTTTCACTCGCAACAATTTTGTGGTCATTGATAGAAGAGAGACCATTACGTTTGAAGGCATGAGGGTTCCAAGTCGAGGTCAGGCGACATTGCTCACTTTTTGCACCTGCATCAGCCTCGTAAGCGTAGCTCTTATTCTTACCATAACTATTCCCGATTTCGGCAATAACTGGTTTTCGCTCACCACCTTAAGTCCGTTGGTGGGCGCTTAACCTCGACGACTCCCTGAAAGGCGTACAAGAACGCCTCTGGGTGTATTTATGAAAAGAATATGAAAAGACAAACACTGTGTGTCTCATTCTCTGGCAAATCTAACGCGCTCTCATCGATCCCATTTCTCCGTTGAAGTCCCAAATTCCATTTCTCTGTTGAAATCCCAAATCATTTTCCCCTGATTTGTGAGATTTAGATTGCGTTTGTGATTAATGTCGATCGCATTGAATAACGCCACCGTCAGGATCGACATCACGCCGTCGTCTGGGTTCACGGGTAATGGGTTGATCTTCGATTCATCGGAAAACTGCCGGAGAGTTACTGTGGGTGAGGTTACGGTTTGTTCTTCGAGTTCGTCGTCGATTGGGAAGAACAGCAACAATGGATCAGAGAGTAACGACGGCGGCGAAAATGACGAGGTTCAGAGCTCATATAAAGGTCCGTTGGATATGATGAACGAGCTAGAGGAAGTTTTACTTGTGAGAAAAGGAAGAAGAAAAAGAATGCCATGTCTGCCAAACAACATCAACTATAATGGCAACCAGTGCGCCTGCGTAGTTAGGTACATTCTAAACCAAAGCTCCCTAATACCCTCCCCGACACTCAGGCCCCGGGCTCTCATCAAACCAAAGCTTCACTCATTTTCACCATGTGAGGCAAAACAAGCAAGAAAATCATCAGCCAGCTCAGCTCCACCCCCGGCACAACTGCGAAGAAACCCACTTTTCTGAGAAAGCAAAAGTAGAAAGCCGATGAGCTGGAAATGCAAGTGTGGGAGATCATTGCAAGCATCCAATGCAGTCTCTTCAGATTCCATGGGCATCGACCACCAGTAAAGCCAAAGCAGAAAGAAAAAGTAGAAAAAGAGAGGAAAATAATGAAAAAGGAAAAGATGTCTGGAGATGGAGAAAAGCCGAGGAGGAAGTGGAAAGCATGGCACACCTATACCCACTATCATTGATGAATATTTTATTAAGTTGTTTTCTGCATACTGGAGCAATTATTGTATAGTTATACTGATGTATAAAGAAGGCACATGCCAAAAAAAAAAAAGGCAAAATAATGGGTTGGAATGTTATGTGGAGGACGAATAGCCAGGCCCTATGGCTTCAAACTCCAACCTCCATTTCTCCACTTAAGGTTCACCTTCTATTATCACCAACCAGGTGATCAAAATTACGTCTAGTACTCCAAAATTATTTGGTAGCCTGCCGCTATTATCACCAACCAGGTGATCAAAAGTACGTCCAGTACTCCAAAATTATCCGGCAGCCTGCGCTATTATCACCAACCAGGTGATCAAAAGTACGTCCAGTACTCCAAAATTATTTGGCAGCCTGCCGCTAATATCACCAACTAGGTGATCAAAATTACGTCCAGTACTCCAAAATTATACATAAGCATCACTCATGTCAATCATACATAAACATTCATGAGCATCACTTATGTCAATTATACATAAACATTCATGAGCATTACTCATGTCAACATCCATAAGCATCACTCATGTCAATCAACATAAAGATTCATGAGCATCACCCATGTCAATTAGCTTCGAAAGTTTCATTTACAAAGCTCCAACTTCAAAAGCTTCATTTACAAAAGCTCCAACTTCAAAGCTTCACTTTCAAAAGCTTCACCTACAAAGCTTCAGTGCATGGTATACAAAGATCGCCTCCGAACAACCTCCACTTCGGCCCATACATGGATTGAATTTAAAGTTTCCAGCCAACAGACTCTATTAACTGAAGACATGGGGGACTACATTATGTACCATATATTGGGCTTTCGCGACTGGGCCTCATGAAAAATATTTGGGGGACTTAGCCCATCATTTATGTATTGAGGAACGAACCCTTATTCTATAAAAGGGACTCCCTCACTTTCATTAGAGAGCATCCATTATTCATATATTGAGGAGCGAACCCTTATTTTATAAAAGGGACTCCCTCACCTTCATTAGAAAGCATCGCCGCCAGCTGAGCAACCACCTCGCCGCGAGCATCACTACTAACCCATCATTTATGTATTGAGAAGCAAGCCCTTATTCTATAAAAGGGGCTCCCTCACCTTCAACGCCACAAGCTGAGTCAACCAAGGCAACATAAGCCACAAGCTGAGCAGCCACGCAACATGTGCTACTTTTAGTTGAGCATCATTTCACATTGAGCACCGCCCCATAACGAGTATCAGTTCTAGACAACATCTAGTTACTTCGGCCTACACATGGACTGAATTTCAAGTCTCCAGCCAAAAGACTCTCTTGATTGAAGACTTAGGGGACTACTGTTGGTACCATATTATATTGAGCCTCGTTACTTGGGCTTCCAAACATTGAGCCCATGATTCATGTAAAAGAGGAGGATCCCTTAGTTTATAAAAGGGCCTCCTCACCCTCACAATTCTTAGGTCTCATCCTCACATACAAAGCCACAAGGCTTACAAACAGAAAAACTTTTTCTTTCTCTGGGGGACTCATCCTCACACTTGTAATCCATACATTCATACAAAGAAATACAATCAACATCAGTATGGACGTAGCCTAAAAATTGGGGTGAACCACGATACATCTTGTGCTCTTTACTTTCTTGCAGATTCACGGTCGGATTTACGTTGTTCCAAGACCCCTCCGGTTTTGTGCATCAACAAGTGTTATTAAGCGGGTATACATTGTACAAAATAAGTGAAACTGATTAAATAATCCAGTGGTTATTGATGTGAAATAAAACAACACTCAAATTAAACCCTCTTATTGACAATTGTAGTAAAGATGTAAGTAGGGATCATTCTAGACCGGGGATTATGAGGGCTTGCTAATCTACTTAAAACTGACTTAAAAACATAAAACTAGGCTTGAAAACACTTAACTAGACTCAAAGAACTCAAAACAAACTAAAAAGACTCAAAACAACACAAAACAATCAAATGGACTCAAACTAGACACTAGGAGGTGATTTGGACGAAAATTGATTTTACTTTGACTCAAAACACTTTAAAACACTTAAACACAAGTTTGGATAGATTCTAACTAATTTGACACAATAAAGAAAAGGGGATTGGGGTTTTGACGAATTTAAAGTAAAACAAGTAAACTAAAGACTTAAACAAATTTTGGCACAAAATTGGGATAAATGGATGGGTGATAAGCTAGCTAGAGGGTTCTTCTCCACACATGATACACTTGCATACAAAACGATTTCCAGTTGCTTTTCCAATAAACCATGAACCTCAACACCCCAGATTAACCGTGAACAGCACTAATTAACCCTCAAATTTTCCTTAAATCATTAAATTGGAAGGATAATGCATCGACAACCCAAATTATTCTCCAAAAGTTCCCTACATGAACAACATAATAGAGATACAATCAAAGATCATTAAGCTTTGTGAAAATCAAAAGTATTGACAAAGCGTTCGTAACTATGATGAGCATGATACTCCTACTAGGAATCTACTTAACACGATTGTGACTAGCAACCTCCACTACTTGTGAATATAAGTTCATAACGATTAGGTGAAAATCCCTTATATTCTAGCATCAAATTCATGCATGCAAATTAAGTATGCTTCCTTAATCCACAAATAAGAATAAGTTCTAAATCAAACAGTTAAGTAAATTGCATTCACGATTCATAGAATCACAACTGGAAGTAATCAATTCATATTTCAATTATGTTCATGGCTTTGAATTTCTCCCTAGCTAAAAGGAGTTTAGCTCCTCATGTTCGCAAAACAAAGATACATAAACTTAGACATTAAAAACAAAATATTGAAAACACCTAAAAACGTTCCAGCAATCCAACTTGAATGGCAAGCACGTCCAAGGTTCTCCTTCTTCTTCTTTGCTACGGCACAAGGTATGGGTGAAGGTTTGGATGGTGTATTGTATGGAACAAAAGAGTGAAAGTATGAATGGTGGTGTATAGAGAGTATATGGATGCGGCAAAATGTGTATTGTGGTGATGAATGGTTTATGTTAATTGCTATCTAGAAAGGCCACGGCAAGGACTTATTTATTTTCCAAAGTAGGTAAAAACCCTAGGAAAATAAAGCTAAGATGTAGAAGGTGTATCACTCTTTAATGTATCATCATTATCTATTTCTAAAAAATGAATTGATAGTTTTAAACCTCTTCATTAGCCAAATGGTTGGACCTAACAAATTGAACAATAATAACACAATTGTATATGATAAATTATATCTAACAAATTTCGAGTACGAATTTTTAAAATTTAAACAATAAACAAATAAACAGGATCAAGAATTAAGAATAAAGTGGTAAAAAAAACCTTTACAAGTGAAGAGAAAATTAGTAGACTTTCATGTGTGTAGACTTCATAGGCTACTGTGCCTTCAAAACAGTAGAAAAGTGTGCTTTTTTTTTGTTGAAAAGTTACGATAGTAGATTCATTTCATTAATAACTGCATTACAAAGGTTTATCCATCTCTAAACAAAGAGCTACATACAGTCCTCAACAAGTATATCAGTTCTGATACTAGGAGGGGAACCGATCCATTCATAGCTTTGCATCAAAGATAGGCCGACTTTTGCAAGGTGGTGAGCAGCAGCGTTTGCGTTTCGACGAATGTGGGTGATATTTGCTTCAGTGATTGTATTGAGTAGAACTTTGCAATCCTTCAGAACTTGTTCGATGGGTGACAAATTGAGGATAGGATCCCTCAGTGCCTCTACAATCTGAAGCGAGTAGGTTTCAATAATAAGTGATTGATAACCCCTGTCAATCGCCCATAACAAACCTGCTCTCATTGCCATAGCTTTCGAGATCAGTGGGGAGGCTATATCTTCAAAACTTCCAATACCAGCAGCTATAAAGAGACCGTTACCATCCCTGATAATGGCACTAAACCCAGCAGCAAGGCTCTCTGCCTTCCCGAACCCATCTATGTTCCTCTTGAGCTGCCCTCGGGGTGGGACAATCCATCTAGAGGTGCTTCGTAAGTTGTTATCCTGCTCCGGTCCTGCATTTATGGTTCTGGTAAACTCCAACCACCATTGAATAACATTAGCAATGTAAACCTCAGGAGACACCATCTCATCGTCCTAGAGCTTCTTGTTTCGTGCCCCCTATATTGCCCAACATATCATCAGAAACTCATCAAAGATTGCCTTGGGTAATAGATCCACAATCTCATTTATACATGCCATGAAGGATGGAGGGTGAGTGTTCCTCAAGAGTGGACCCACCTGTGAGCTTAACCATGCATATTTCACATAATGGCATTCCTTCATTAGATGGATAGTAGATTCCTCATACCTACCACACAATACACATTCCACATCTGTTATAACATGTCTTGCCACCAAATTAGCCCTAGTAGGAACCAATTCATTGGCAAATCGCCATATGCAAATTTTTCACTTTTGTGGGTTGCAGCCAACTCCTTGCTACATGGTAGGCTAACCTAACCGTAAACCTTACATGTCTCTCATGGTGCCACAGTAAATGGTCCGCTGGATTTCGAACACTTAATGGAATTGTCCGAATCAAATTTACCTCCTCAGTAAAGAAGAGGTTTTCTAACATATTAATGTTCCAACCTTTTACTATTAGATTGATCAACTCATCTACTGTTAACAAAACGCAACCCACTAGTTTGGGCGAATATGGGCGAAATTGAGATGGGATAGGGATCCAATTGTCCTACCAGATATGAATGGATTGCCCAATGCCCACCTGCCATCTTAGACCCAAGCTTAAAACTTTCATTGCAGTGCAAATGCTTTTCCAGACATATGATGTTCTAGATTTCAACGTGGTCTCCATAAAAGAGCAATTTCGAAAGTACTTAGCCTATAGAATCGTAGCAACCAATAGTGAGGGTCCGACATCAATCGCCACCCCTGCTTTGCTAGCATACTCAAATTGAATGCATAAAGTAGTCGAAACCCAAGTCCACCCTCGCTCTTTGGATTACAAAGGCGATCCCAAGAGCATTAATGCAGCTTCTTTTCTCCTTTGTTACCACTCCACTAATAGGATGCAATTAACTTGTTTAAATCATCATCGAAATTTTTGGGAAGAAGAAAGCAATTCATGGAGTAGTTTGAGATTGCTTATGCCACTGCCTTCACCAACACCTCCTTCCCGACCGCACTGAGCATCTAACATTTCCAAGTCTTTAATTTCTTCCATAAACGATCCTTGAGATATCCAAAACACAAGCTCATGTTCCTCCCCACAAGTGTTGGCATACCAAGGTATTTCTCATGTCGCTCCACGTGGTTTACACCAAGGATCTCAACAAGTTTACGTTGTATCGGTCGTTTCACATTTCTGATAAAACAAGACTCACTTTTTTCAAGGTTAACCTTTTACCCCGAAGCATGTTCATAAATCTTTAGGATCTCCCTTACTTGCCTGTAGTCTGATTCCTTTGCTCGACAAAATAATAGACTATCATCTACAAATAGCAAATGACTAACCGCCGGTGCTTCCGTACATATGGAGATACCTTGAATCCTTCATTGCCGTGCCTGTTGAGCAACTAGTGCTGACAATCCCTCCACATAAAGAATAAATAAGTACGGTGAAAAGGGGTCACCCTGGCGTAATCCACGCGATGAGAGTATATAGCCCCGTGAGCAACCATTCACCAAAACAGAGTACGAGACCGTAGTCACGCAAAGCATGATGAGTTTGATCCAATGTTGAGAAAAGCCCATTTTGATAAGGATTTGATGTAGAAATCCCCATTCAATCATGTTGTATGCCTTATTTATATCCAGTTTTATCGAGGCAAAACCTTTCTTCCCACAACATCGTTGAAACAAATAGTTAGCTATTTCTGATGCTAAGAAGGTATTATCTGCAATATGATAACCCGGCATGAATGCGCACTATGTCTGCGAGATAATCTTTGAAATGTACCCCTTAAGGTGGTTCGTAAGGACCTTAGAGATGATTCGGAACAATACGTTACATAAGATGCTCGGCCTAAACTGAGCTACCTCCTCCGATTGCTTGGTTTTGGGATAAAGGTCATATGTGTAAAGTTTATTTGCTTCAAAAGTCTTCCTATGGCTTGGAAGTTTTTTACTGCATTCGTTATATCCCTTCTAACTATATTCCATAATTTTTAGAAAAGGAAGGGATTCATTCCATCGGGTTCCAGCGCTTTGGACGGTTGCATCAGGAAGATCGCCTCTCAAACCTCCTTATCAGTGAATGCCACATCCAGCGTGCTATTCGTCTCTGCCATTACCTTAGTTTCCACGGCATCAATGATTTCATCATCCAGATTGTTCCCTTCCGTTTTAAATATATCTTGAAAGTATGTAATCACAGTGCGCTCAATTCCAGCATCATCACAGACCCAGTCACCTCTTACATCTTTCAACCGCTTTATTGAGTTCTTTGCCCTTTTATTCTTGGCTCGCTGATGAAAGAATCGTGTGTTATGGTCGCCGACCTTAATCCATAAAGCACGTGATCTTTGCCTCCAGTAAATCTCCTCCTAACCCAATAGTTGATCAAGTCGCTGCATTAACCGGTTTCGTTCAACCAGTGCAACATTCGTGAGAGCTTGGGCAAGGATGAAGCCTAACTTTTGGCGCACAGCGCTAACTTCCTCATGCATGCCTTTAAATACTTCTTGCTGCCACTTTAATAAAGTTACCCTTGTGGCCCTGATTTTGTTTACAATCTGAAACATCGATACACCAGTAGTCTGCTGGTCCCAAGCATTACAAATAATACCTTCACACTTCTTATGATCAGCCCAGAAATTTGTGAACCGAAACGCTTTACCTTTGCGCTTACCATGATTCTGAGGTCCATACATTTCCACAAGAATAAGCACATGGTCAAACTTCCTAGGATCAAGGTGTAAAACCTTAGCGTTACTGAACATCTCCTTCCACCTATCTGTTGCAAGCATCCTGTCTAGCCATTTTTTTATACCTTCTGACCTAGTGGTAATCCAGGTGTAAGGAGTACCCGAGAAACCTAGATCATTTAGTTGTCAGATGGACATAGCATTCCGAAAAGCCATTATCTGACAGGTCCTCCTTCCTTCTCGTGGATGCCTAGTAGCTCGTTAAGACCATCTCTAAAGAAGATGTCAAATTTTAAACCTAAAATTTAAATTTGAAGGCTTACGTGGCACTTTGACATCTTTTAAACTTTTGATCTCCAACTGATATGTCAAATTTTAAACATAAAATAATAATTCATATGTATTTTCTTTGCATTGGGAATGAAAAGAAACAAAAGGATAATGGTTTAAACCAATAAAAAATTAATAAAAAGCATATAATAATTAATTAAAAAAGTCTGAAGATGCTGTCAAATTTGACAACAAGGGGAGAGATGTCAATCCATATCATGCCACATCAAATTTGGCTTCTTGGTTGGAAAACATTAATACTGTCTTTTGTTATCATTATTGCTGATTTGAACATTTTAACATCTCCTTTGGAGATGCTCTAAAGTCTCCTTCGATGAGTCGTGGAAGGGCTTCTTGGTTGGAAACCTGCATTGTTGTTCAAATGAATAAAACAATAAAATAATGAAAACTAATAATTACTTACTCCTATAAAATTTAAAATCGTATGGTTTTGAATAGAATAAAATATTAAAATATTAAAAGTTGATTATTATTTCTAGAATCTAGGAATCTTATGGATTTTGAGTTGATTAAAATAGGGATGTGATATCCACATACCATTTTTTACTTTTGACACATCCTTTTAATTTTCAGCCGTTTGATCGGATGAATTGAATAAGATAAAAGGATATAAATTAAGAAGAGATATGTGAGAAGTAAAAAGGGTTGTGTAGATAGCACATCCCTTAAAATAATGCTAATAATTATATTTTATTCTTTAACAGACTTGTGTGTGTACATATTGGGTGGGTTATAAAAAAATAGTTCAAACAATTAATATTTTTAAGCTTAAAGCACTAAAACTCTCCCTATGCTAGAGTCATCTTAGCCTTGTTAGTAGCTCCACCATTGTGTAGTACTTAACGACCAATGTGGTTTTATGTTTTAAAGAAATATTTATGTAACAATGAGTTATGTGCAATTTTTTTTCTTAATGGGTTAAACGGGTCAGGTCGTTTTACCTGTTAATTTTAACGCGTAAAGTGACTAAACATGTTAAGAACCAATTAAGATAATGGGGGTGACACGACACGACATAATCCGTTAAGATAACAAGTGATACATGAAAACGACATGAACACGACAAACACGACCCTTTTGCCAGGCCTACCATTGATGAATAATCTAACATCTAATCTAACAAAACCTTTCATTTGACAAAAAAAAAAAAAAAAAAAAAATTCTAAATTTTATTAAAAATATATATAGCAATAAGATTCCATTACCTAACATTGTTTTGCATATGCGCACTAAATGCAACTTCTTCAATGGAATCTTCCTAGCAATGCTCTTTTTGTATTTTCAATACGCATTTAAGATTCAAGTCTATCTTGGCCATCTGTTTATAATAACACCTAAATTATTATTAGGCTTTTTAGCCAAAATGGTCTTTGAGATTTGCATAACACATCACTTTGGTCCCTAAAATTGAAAATCAATAGAAATGGTCATTGAGATTGTCCACCATCCATTATTTTGGTCATTCCGTTAAAAACTCCATTAAGTGTCCCGGAGCTCTTGATCGAAAGTTTGGGCAATTTTCAAAACTTCGTAACTCAATCGTTTCTCAACCAAATTCAACCCATAATATATCAAAATGAAGATAGGAAAGTGTAGAACACGATTACACCTATTTGGAAGCCCAATGGTTGTCGGAGATGGCCGTAAAATAGCCTGAAAGGTGATTGGTCCGCGGAAAAACTGGAAAACTCGCAAAAAACTGGGTAAACTTTAAATGTTCATAACTTCTTCAATACTCAACAAAATCGAGTGATTCAAAAATGAAAATCATACTTCTTGACGAGAAAAAGAGAATGATACCTTTCTTGACGGATAATTCACCGTGGTTTGGTCGGAAAACATCTCGAAAGTGGCTAACTTGAGACCAAGACAGCCACTTTCGAGCTGTTTTTCATCCAAAATACG